TTCCTCAACTTTCAAGGAGTCTCTTGGTACTTTTCCTCTTTACCTTTGGTTCTTGGCAAACAGTAAAATGCTTCACATCACTCCAGTGAAGGACATGAGCAATTAGAAGGTTGAGGTAGAAAGCAACGTAGATGGTGTAATTTTGAGATGAATGAATGGCAGTCCACTAGAAAATACAGAAAACCTTAAATCACATTGTCAATGAAAAAAATCTCCTTAAAATCAGGTAGATGACCAAGGCCTGTCCCTGTGAATGTGACATATTTGGATCATTAACTTCAAAAGAAGAGGTGGTACTGCAAACAGGAAAGAGATGTTTGAAATGCAGCAAGTGAAGCAGTGTTTAGTAAACTAGGTCTGGCCATCTTAGTCTTGTCTAATTTTTAATTATTTCACATATCACAATTCATTAAAAGGGAAACAAAAAGTTACTGGAAAAGGTGTCTAATTACCTCCTATACCTTTGTAGACCTCTGGGGCCTTTCTTAGAAGCAGTGCTCACACTTTCTTTCTGATTTTGTCCTTTATGCGTTACCACATGCTTTGATCTCTCCTTCGACAGCTTTCAGGCTCCCACTCACTCTTCTGTGGTTACTCTTTCTACTCTTCTTGGAGATCTTTTCCAGTTTTCAGGACCTGATTCAAAGCCCACTGCGGTGGAAGGAGGTCTTTATGTGTGTGTATATGTATGTATATAGTTGTGTCAGCATCTCAAGACTTCTGCTCTCGTTATTGCTGAATCACACTCCTTCACATGCGTATTGGATTTAGTCCCTTTAGATCTTTCTTAAAATCCAAGACTTTTCTCCCCTTTAATACACTTGGAGTTTCCACAGCATTTTGCATGCATGCATGCAAGTCCCCTTTTTTTGCATTATTGTATGTACAAAGGTAGCTCCTCCTTGCTTTGCTCCAATTCCTCCAGGAAGGTGTAAACATGGAAGAAATGCAGGCTTCTCTCCCTAACACCTGGATTTGGTCGGGCTTTATCTGGATGAAGCTAACTAAGTCTGCATTTCTTCTGGCACCCATTGCTAAGAGACAATGGAATTCTACCACCATCAGATGACTGGAACCACCTAAATACAGATGCAGTGACCCATCTCCTTCCTGTTGTCTCTAGTACCTTTTTCAAGTTTGTTTACTCAGAACATGCACAGAGCCCTTATTTTGTTTTGGAGAGGGGCAAAAACTCATTTGCATGCATTATGTGCCCACAAATCTCCTTTATTGTGTAAAAGTCTGCAACTGGAATTATGTTATGCTGAGGTCGCTATCCAAAACTTGCATGCTTCAACAGAAACATCAGTCTTTGAAAGTCTGATGCTATGTTATCTTCAACAGATATTTAGAGATTGTATTGTTTTCCTTATACTTGACTTTATTTTAGAATCCAGATTTCCAGTTAGTTACTTGTACATCTAATCTATTCATAATAATATTGAAAAATGACTTCTATCCAGCTTCCAGGTCACAAAGATTTTTATTTATTTCTTCGATGTTCTCAGTTCCCCAACAAGAATGTTCCTCTATTGCTTTGAAAGACTGATGATCATCCCAGTATCTTCTCAGGTCCACCACTTGAAAATAAGTATTGCTTCTTAACTTTCTTTTCCTCATCTTCTGAGCCAAGAGGAGTGTCAAACAAAACAACAGTCTATGTATAAACAAGCTAGGCAGAAGTTTGACATCTGTATAAGACCTGGGAGAAAAATGCTTCTTGTATAGGCTGTGTCCCAGGGCTTTGTTCTACTTTGAGTAATTTACCTTGAGGATTTGAAATAATAGGCATATCAAAGATTTGGTAGAAGGAACATAGTCAGAAGGATTCTACAATATAAGAGTACAGAAATGTAGGAAAAACAACTGTACTGGTAAAGAATTGGATCCTGTGCATAAAGCGCAGCTTAAAATCAGATCAGATCAATAAGCTAACTACTAACTATTACAAGCTAATGCAAGATACCTGTGCTACACCTAAGAGGGTTTAAAGTACAGCATTAAGGCTATATCATCAACTGCCTGATCTGAATTTACTCTCAGGTGTGAAGGGGGGTGAGAGAAGCTCTGAGGACAGAAATACAAGCTCTGGTATTGTTCATTTGAAACAGATAAAGGTTATTTAAAAGAAATTTAAGAGGGAACTCAAGTGGTAAAACACTGGTAAAATGCTTATGAAAAACTTAGAAATTGATTAAAGGTATAGTCACAGACTCAGCAAATATGTGCTAACTATCGAAACACTCTGGAAAGACAAACTCCTTTTCCCCTCAAAAACTGGTGTATTTTAAACAGTCGGAAATTAACAATAAGATAAAGGACGCTATTAAATGTAGGAATTCTGACTTCCAAATTAAAGTTCTGTTCAAGTGAGGAAAAAAAAAGAAAAGCTTGGCAAGTAGGTGTTAAACACAATAAGGCAAACCAAAAAGGGTTCTGAGGAGCAGGCTGTTAAAGGCGTAAGAACTAAAAATGAATTCTCTTCAAACACATCAGAGGCAGGACTTGTGAGATAGTCTGTAGGGCCAATAGATGATGGATACAGCAAAGGAAAGCTCAAAGGAAATAAAGGCTTGTAGAGATGCAAAACTAATTCTGTGCTGCTTTGTTCACTATGAAAGGGGGGAGGATGGACAGATACACTAAAAACTTTGTTTATAGGAGAAATACTGGGGAAGAGGCAGCTTGACTTTTAAAGAGGAGAGTTACGTCTCACGAATCTGTTCCAGTTCCTCAAAGAAGTCACTGGGTGTACAGGTAAAACTGATCTGACGGAAAGAGTTTGCATAGCGTTCTCCAAACACATCATCAAAGGCTTCTACAGAATATAGCCCACTGTGCTCTTATGGCCAGATAATCAGACCTGAAGGTCCAAAAGTACCTCCATAATGAGTTACCTGAATAAGTGACTTGATTTTTTTTTTTAATGGGTACAGCTCTTGCAGCTCACTTTATTGGGAAGAAAAGATGCTTTTGGCTCTGTGCAAGGTAAAGATGGTTTTATTTAGAAATGCCAACATTAGGTGTGCAAGACTGGCTCGTTTGCCACTTGCTCTTTATACAGGGATTTTGCCACATTTGACTGAAGCCACCTGCAGTAATTGCACAAAATAAAATATCCTTTTGGCTATACATGTATGGAGGTGGGGAAAATACCACTTAGTTCTGTCTTCACACTTCATCTCATCTGATGGGCAGATGAGTAGGTTACCCCTGAATTTAAATACGGCGTATTAGCATTCATTTCTTACTTATACTGAAGCTTTAGTCAAGAAACACAAATTTCATCACCCATTCTATAAACACATAGTAAAGACATAAACATTGCAGATTCAGGAACAAAGACAAAGTCATAACGTACAAGTGCAAAGACTGCATAGGAAGATCATGGGACATAAGAGAAGTATTCCTACTTATTAATACTAGCAGGACTGGTGCACCAAAAACAATGACTACTTCATTAAGTCCAGGCTGGCCCAGCAAAACCCTGTGTGCCAGACTCGCCTAAGATCTGCAGCTCAGATATTCTTCCATAACATCTCCAATACTGAGGTTTTCCTATTCTGAGGCTAGACAAAACAAATTTCATTGTAAAATCTAGTTTCTTAGTTTCATTTTCCACTTTTTGCCAAAGACATGCCAGTCTCCATCACAGGAATAAATTAGCCCCTGAAGATGCTAGATTCGTCCAGAAGCTTTCGCATTTGATACTGCTGCTGTCGTTTTGGAAATAGTCTTAAAAGAAAACAAAATTCGAAGTTATGCCTGCTTATTAATAGAATCTAGAAACTGTAGAGCCTGTATATTTTTCAGTTTTATAAAAAGCCTTTCCATAGAGCCATTCACGCAACCAGTTATTTGTGTTGAAAGCACTCTCCATGAAAACAGCGGCTTTAATGTCAAGGCCAGGAATAGCAAAGCTTTGCCAGATTCTCGGCTTCAAATTCTAGTGGAAATTAGATGATTTCACTGGAATTATGCTGGGGATCAATCCAGCCCCTCCTAGGTAGAAGGTACACAGTAAATTTAATATTGTAGCAGACCAAATTTTACATCAGAAAGAGCAGCGTCTCAACAAGCCCGTCTCTTATGGAGTCCTTTTTTGCATGTGTGTAGCTCCTGTGAGTGTTCTCTGCACCTGACAATAAAAGGGTTTTTTTTTTTTAACACAACGAGAAATCAAATAGCAAACACAATTCCAGGACCCTGTTGCAACAGCGCCTGGGAGGAGAGGGACCTGCTTTCATGTGCTGTCAGGTAGGCAGTCCGCAGCCGTTTGCATGCTAACAAGTACTGTGAAGCTAGCTTGCTCTCCGAGAGTTTCTAACTACCCTTCTGGAAGATGCTGAGGGTAAAATAAAGGACCTGTAAGCTGTAGCTGTAAAACTAGTTTGTTAGTACCAGTTTTGTATTCAATTTTTTCTTTTCGTTTTCAAGATGTCACTTTTACACGTCCTGAGTATCTCATGAAGAAACATGGGGATTCCTGCCAAAGAACTGAATGGTTCATATTTTGCCAGAAAGACCTCTGCCTGCCCCTAGGATTGACGCTCTGTCCCTCCTGTCTTTGCAGAACTAATTACTTGGAGGAAATAAATTACAGTAGCAAATCGGCACCTCGTTGTGATTGGAATCTGTTTGAAGTAGGCCTTTTTGTGACTCATTGTATTTTATAATTCCTTTTTAAGATGGCCTGTTGAAGAGATCTCAGCAAGATTCATGCTCATGGGACAAAGTCTGTGGCATACTGCCATTTTATTTTAAATTGTACTGAAGAAACGTTGCTCTACTTTGGAAAGGGACTCTAAAAACAGCCTAGAAGAAGGGGGATGATGGCTCAATTCTTACTGATTCATTCTTGTTATCATGCTAGATTTGCTCAAGTACAAAGATGACTTTCCTACTTGTCAGCTTTGCAGATTCCTCCAAGCATCTGAAAGTCAACCCGGACTGTCTTTTTTGTTGAGGCTGTTAACCCTGGCCCTGTTTTTTCTGTGCAGCTCCACTGACTGAGGGCATCTCTGACGGAAGGGCAGGACTGCAAGGTAACTGCTTCCATAACCCTGCCTTTTTGTGCATCTCTCTAACTCTAGCACATTTAAAGACATTTTTTCATAGGTTGAACTAAGTTCTCAGGTCTTATACAATAAACACAAGCAAATGATGTTTCCATTGCAAAATGCCTATTGATTGAAACTCAAACTTCTCTGAGTAGAATGACGGTTTTGATTCTGCTTTCCATCAGGAAAAATTCCTCAGGTTCAAGATGAAACCTGGTCAGAACAAGCAGAAGGAACTGACTCTGCGGTTCACTGTTGGTGGCATTTGAGTAAGATAAGCAAAAGAGAATGAAAGTTGCTCAAAACACTGCATTGCCTACAGCTCTGTAGAAAAAAGGAGGCATTATGGATTTATAGAAAAGCACTTTTTAGCCTAAATCCTAACACAATGTAAAATAGCATCTCCAGTATTAAATGATTTCGTCTATGTGAAGAATCTGTTATTTTGGTAGCAACTGATCTATAGTCAACAAAGATGGGTATCAAATTAAGGGACACCTCATCCTTAGCAAAATAAACATTTCACCTTCCACATGCAGGAATGAAAGAGAGAAAATAGGAAGCTTTGTTGCATGACATAATCAGAAACTCATCTTGAGTGGAGACATTTGTCTCATAGCTTGTTATGGGGTTATTTATTTTTACAAAAGTCTGGATTAAAATTGTTCTCTTTACTCTCTTCGGTAAGTACCTGCCAAACTGGGTCTCCTATCAAAAGGACTATACCCTGTTACTCTGACTCCCCTATACCTTGACATTTACTCCACAAATTATTACACTGAAAACACTACTCCTGTAACAAGGTGATGTTTCAGGTTAACAAAGGTAGCCCTAATAAAGACATTAAATACAAAATCAGAGTGCAGAAATACAGTTGCTAAAACATCTGAACGCAGATCTATGGCTTACAAAGTGAAGGAAGAGTGATAGTTGAAGTATATTCTTGCTTTACTAGTTGACAGAGAGAAATTTATTTTCAAACTAATTTTAACTAGAAACTAGCTGTTGGTTTATATTTTTATAGGTATTTCTTTCCAAGGAAGGAAAGTAGAATGAGCTTCAATTTAAAAGACAAAATTTGGAAAGTGCACAATTCAAATGATTGGTCAGAACTTTGCACTCTGCTCTTGGCTGAAATCTTTATCCTGCTACTGACATCGGGTGTCCTTTCATAAATCATTTGCTGTCCCTGTGGCTTAGTTTGGGCTCCTTCCAAAATCCACAAAAGATAGGCAGTTTGAATTTCTACAGAATCTCTCACATGGATGCTATAGCATTAATATATATATAACCTTTCAGAAGTGAGATAAATCTGAATTGTTTCTGAAGTGCTTTCAGACGGTAGGTTCTAGAGTTGCTAAAGCAAAAGGTGATCTTAGTTTCTAATTAAGGGCTGATAATAATGTTTATTCTCAGCTGATTTTAGTACCTGTGTGTGATAGAAGAGGGGGAAATAGCACATAAACAATTTTTGTAGCAGGCTTTAAATTTGGAATTGGGAAAAAAGAGAAATTACAAAGCGAAATATACAGCTGAAGTTAGGATCACAGGGAGGAAACAGTAAAATTTACATAAAATAGGAAATCTATGAGTTCAGCCACCAAGGTAAAACAGCCCACTACGTGAGGAGAGGATACCTAGAAAGCGGGAGGAAATCTAGATAAGAATAGGTAGGATGTTTGACAGAAAACAACAACAACAGAAAGATTCAGTGTTTGAAGCCATTGATTTCTAGGGAATGATTAAAAGGCAAAAATGTAGATTTTTTATGCGGAAAGAGTCTTCAAAGCCAGGAAAATAAAAGATGAAATCCACTGCCATGGCTTTTATATTGCTTAGGAGCCTAAGGATGTGGGAAACATGTCAGGATCACTTGAGGTTGCGTCTGGTAGATCAGGAGCTGCCAAACTGTGTGCAATATCGGTTCTCCCACAATCCAGATGGCGTGTCAGGGAGCTGCAGTGCCCAGGACTGTAGCTGTTACCACTGTGAAAAGGTTGGTAAGTGCTACCCAAAGGATTTCTACTTCTTTTCCTGTTGAGGTCTGGTTTCTGAGGTCCCTGGTCTTTCTCCCTCACTTTGGAGTTCAAGCACCCAAGCAGAGTTGCCTTCTGTCAGAGCATAAATGCATCCTGTACTGCATTTCATGGTAGGCATAAATTTGTGTGTACTATCTTACCCAGAGTTTGTGATTAACTTCTACTGAACATGTTAAAAGTCGCTTTTGTGAATATTTTGAAGTGGATAGAGCAAAGCACTAGAGAACGTGTAAGCCCAGCTTCACCACAGGAATAGATCTCAGGGATCTCATTGTTTTTTTCCATCTTCCATTACTAACCAAAAGCAGAGATGTAATGAATATTGCTTGCTGCTACAAAAGTGGCAATTACTCCTCCCCTGCCACCCCAGAGTTTACAAAATTTTTTTTATAATTGTTTGCAAATTTTGTAAAATACAGTCACATCCAATTTTCCTGACAAAAAGAATCAAATCTTTATATAGTTTAAGTTATATATACCTTTCATATCATTATGATTTTCCCTTTTAACTATTGAGGGATTGTTCTTATTTTAGCGTAACTGAAAACAATTGTGAATAATAAAATAGTTTATCATGCCATGTAATATGGAGATAAGAGAGATGATTTTATCGTGAACAGGTATTTCTATAGTTAAGTGCATTAATCTTGGAAGAAATTGTCATCTAGAGGGCCTGATAAGAAATTGGAAATTTCAATCATTAAAAATATATTAAATAATAACTAATACATAATTAGGAAATATTTTTCATTGTTATAGTCAGATAGCTATAAAGGAGATGCTACTTTTTAATTCCTAGTTTCATTACACTCTATTTACAAAGAACATTATATTAAATAAAAAGAAAAACTAAAAAGGAATCCTTAGAGGAGGAAAAAACCCAAACACCAATTTTATAACTCTTTGCTTTTGATTAAGCTTGGAGGAGAAGACCAATGAAAAGACTGAATGGAATGATACATATTATGTTGTAAAATAGCTTACATTCTCATATCATTTTTTTCAGACTTTCTTATTTTGTAAAACACAACTGATTAAATGTAACTGCAATGTAAGAGAACTGTTGAAAAGCTTAGAGAAGATTTTGAAGTGGTTGCAAAGCAAAGAGAACTGATAGTGCTTTCATACTAGATTAACAAATCTATTGTTTATTACCTCAATGATACAGCATGCTGTGAGGTGCCTATGCTCACGCAGTAATGATTAGCTAGTTGGCTAACTTCCAGCCAGTAAGGTTATTAACACAGTATTGTGAAGGCTCAATGTAAGGTTGATTTTCTTGTACTGTATATTGCATGCAGAAAACTTGTATTAATCAATACAAATTATTCCCCAAACAATAGGACACAGTGGGGGTGAGCAGGAAAGGCTGGAAATGAGGTGCTAGTGCAAAAAAGGAGAAAGAATAAAGAAGGTCACATGTTCTGTCTCTAATTAATGTTGAAGAAAGTCTTCAAAAAGGCAGAAGTCTAGTGGTTAAAACAGGAGACTGACAAACCAGTAGTCTGTGCTTTGTTAAGGAATAGGATTGGGATGTAACCTTGGGCAAATCAAGTTTCCGTTTATTCTGCCTCGAGTTTTACCAGTAAAATAAGGACGGCATCTCCCTCGTATGTTCTTGCTGCTAAATCTTTGTTAGAACATAACACAGATGTTTCAGGTATCATTAATATATAAGATGATTGGCTGAGAAAGCTTTATGTTGGACAGTGTAGTTTCTGCAATAGAAAAACTGCAGAATTTAAGATGTTTTATTGCAAAATAGGAACATGTACAGATAAAACTCAGAATATAGATGTGTTATTGATATTACAGCTACCTTATTTGGTTTTCTTTCCCTTCTTTTCAAAGTAATAGCCCCAAACATGTACTTCTTGAATTGCTCATCATGACATATATCTCAGTGTTAAGTGGTGTGACTGTCGTACCTTACACTATTAACTGGCCTGGGAATTGAATAAGAGCATGTAGTATTCAAATGGACTATTAGTGGTTACACCCCACCAGCCTGTGGACCAACAAAAAATCATTCTGCTTGTTTGCACTGATGCTGCTTCTTCTGCTACTGTTGCCCAACAGAAATCTGAAGGGAGGAAGCTAGTTAGGTTGATGGGTCAAGTTGGAAGAACTGTGCACATCCACTGACTTGATGTTCAACTTTATGAACTATCAGTTATACATTTCTGGCCTCAGCTGGCATGGCTGTAAGCTGGATCTTGATATATACCTCAGAGGTGCATTATGGGTCAGATGCCTTTACAGCCTAAGTTAGGATAATGAAAAGTGCTGTATAAAACATTGCCTTGGATAGACACCGAACCATTGACCAAAGAGGTCCTGGCATCAGCCAGATTTCCATGGGATTGAAAGATTGCTCAATACAGGCTGCTTTTATTTTGTTTTTGTTCATATATAGCCATGAATTGTAAGCTAGTTCTGTGAGATCTCAGCGCTGAGTGGATAAATTGAGACCACAGTGCTTTTCCGCTGGTGCTACTTTCGGTTGGATTGATCAAGTATATGCTGTGGCCAACTGAGGAAGCCATTTGCATGCGTCCTTATCACTGAGCATATGAAAGGAACAATAGACATCACTATGACTATATAAATATTTCTAAACGCCTGTGTGGACCCGGCGGTTTACTTTAAGCTTTGATTTCACAAAGCAGTTCTGCACACACTGCAGCCTTAAGCAGAACAATAATCCTACCCATGTTCAACAAAATATTTTAGCACATGCTTAGTTTTAAGCTGGACACATAGACCCACTGACAGCCATGGGACTACTTGTGCGCTTGTGCCTGAAGCTAAGCATATGCTTAATGTACTGCTAAAGTTGGGCCTGACAATAAACAAGGCTGCTGCTATCCTGAAGATCCATCTGCTTCCCTGCTATTTAAACCATGATGGAAGTGGTTTAAACTAGCATCTTGTGCTTATCAGTTG